CCAAATGCTGGGATTATAATCATGTGCCACCATGACCGTTCCGCCGTAAGTACTCTTTCAGCTATTAATTTGTTTAATTCAATAGACACAATTCCAGCACAGCTATACCCAGGGCCTGTTCTAGGTCCTTCGGACTTTGCTTTTTTGTGTTTTGTTTGATTTTTTTTGAGACAGAGTCTCACTATTCCAGGCTGGCCTTGAATTCATTATGTAGCTTAAACTGGCCACGAACTCACAGCAATCCTCCCGCCTCAGCCTTCTGAGTTCTGGGGTCACACTACCATGCCTGGCTAGGGTCCTTGCCATTAGGTAGCGCAGTACAGTGGAACAAGCAGAAACATAACTGGGTACTCACAAATGTGAATGCAGCAATTTATGTACAAAATATTATGGGACTGCCAAAAAGAGGCCCTTCACTTATCTTAGGGGGCCAAAGAAGGGCCTAACCTGTATTAAGGAAGGTCTGTAACTCGGTTGGCTAGACTGGGTCCCACACAGGGTGTTCAGACTTTTTCTACTAGATAATTTTTTTTAATTTTGGGATAAACTACCCAATAATACTAAAGTAAAATATATATTAACACTGGCTGATTCATGTAGAAGGAGGAAAGGCTCTAACATCACAAATCAGCAAGACCAAGGTTGTCAGAATAGAGCTAAAGATTACAGGGCATGTATTCAAGTTGTCTCTCCTTTTATTTTTATTTATTTATTTATTTATTTATTTTTTTGGTTTTTTTTTTCCGGTACTGGGAATCGAACTCACGACCTTGCGCTTGCCAGGCAGTCGCTGTGCCGCTGAGCTAAATCCCCAGGCCCTTGTCTCTCCTTTTAATGTCCTTCCCCGCCTACAACATAGAAAAGCAAATGCAAGAACTGAAATCCCTGTAAGTGGAGGTCTGTAAACTCTTCTCCTTAACATGCCCTCTGTTACATTTGTGAAGAAATAAAGGTACCATTATCACCAGATTGAAGGAAGATTAGTACTGTTTGAGGTTAAGATTAAAAAACAAAAATAGGGCCGGAGAGGTAGCTCAGCTACACAGCACCTGCCTGGCTGGCAAGCACAAGGCCCTCAGTTTGATTCCTGGCATCAAAAAAAAAAATTTTTTTTTCCAGGTGTGATGGCATATACTCGTGATCCCAGCACTTGGGAGGCTGAGATAGGAGGATTGCCCTGAGTTTGAGGCCAGCCTGGGCTACATAAGCAAATTCAAGTCCAGCTTGCAGGACATAGTGAGACCCTGTCTCAAAAAACAAACAAACAAAGGAAAAGAAGAATTTAACCAGGTTTGCGAGCGCTTGCTCTCATAAAATTACAATGTGAAGAAAAAGTCGAGGTTTCCTGCACTTCAGGTTTCCTCAGACATGGGACTGTAGCGGTCTCTGTAACTGTAACCCTCTAGAAAAACAAGTCCATGGCTGGGGGTTTATACCTCCAGTGGTAGAATGCTCACTTAGCAGGCACAGGGCCCTGGGCTCAATTCCCAGCATTGGAAAAAAAAAAAATTCTTTTTTAATGAAATAAAAAGTTAAGAAAATTCAATCTAACAATCATGTGTGCTTGCTTCCATTTTACGGCTGAGATAACTGAACACAAAGAGTTTTTAAACTTGCCCAAGATCAGACATCCAGTAAGCAGAAGAGCTGGGATTTGAACCAACGGCTACTTAATTCTAGCACTTCTCCTGCACATAGAAACCTTGTGCGGGCCCATTCCCTGGGCCCAACCCTCCTGTTGCCCTGGGCAGTTAACTTACCCTGGCAGGAGTAAGCTGGAATAGGCAACTGGTAGAGGGAGGGCCTGGGCCTGTGTAAATACAGTTTACATGTTCAAGTGGAAGCCACATTTCAATATTATGGAGGCCACTGAAAGTATCTTAATCATTCTCATGAATATTTCATAATATAAGGGGTCAAGAAGGTAAAACAGGGTTGAAATAAATATGTAAATTTAACTAAAGTCTCAAATTTGATTAATAGAGGGAAATAGAAAACAGTAAATGTATGAAAAGAATAGCACTGCACATTAGGCCAGTTTCTATATTCTTTAATACTGTTGTATTTTTCACGTGCATGCGTGGTGTATTATCCACGTGCTAAGACTATAATCCCAATAGTGTATTTAAAGGGAGGGATAAACAAATAGCTTAATCAATCTGAGCAAATACATGAGGTTATGGAATGATTGGAAATGATGTAAACATCAAACTAACACAATGTAGGTGATTTCAGTTCGAGCTCTTACATTTGGAGATATAGCTGCTGCATTGGGTGGGTTATATAAAATACCACTAGAGAGTGAATAATGGGAAGCCTGGTATCACAGAACAGGAGTGCGATTTCTCCGTGCTAAAAAGAATAGATAGCAGTTTTATAAGGGACTGATGCAAGTGGTCAGTTTCCCTACCTGGCCATTACGGCTAGCACGTTTTCTCTGCAGACCTGAGTATGTCCACTTGCTGTGTTAGAGGAACCGCAGCCTGCGGATTGGGGATATGCATTCTCGACCTGCGTCTAATTCTTTGGGTAACGATACACCTACAACTCCTGTAATCCTAGAGCGCGTACAGGGATGCACTAAGTGGTGCGATCGGAGGGAAAGATAGCATCACAAGGATTCGTTTGATTATAACAGTAATCCACACCAAGTCAAGGAAAATAGCCAAACAGTTAAAAAGTGGGGTCTCTAATGAATTTGCTAATTCTAGCAGGCCCTCACCAACATTTCCTGACAGACGACCCCGTATCAGAACCGAGCGGCTGTGCTTTAATTACATGGAATAATTATTTGATTTCCAGGATGTTAAAACAGTGCTTTGTATTTAAATAAAAAGTTCCAGACATGCTGTGAAACTCGATCAAACTGAGAAAAAGGGCGAAACCGAACGCCCGCTCCGTGGTTCAAGAACTCGGCTGCTCAGCAAGCCCGACGCGATGGCTCACGACCCCAGAAAATAGGTATTTTAACCCCGGCCGGCTGGATCCTGTGGCTTTCTTACAGGAGCCCTGCCTCTGCAGAGACCCACAGGGCTATGCAGCCCTGGGCGGGCGCGGGGCTCCGGACTTGGCTGCCGTCGCCCCTCTGCACCAGCATCGCCCCCAGTTTTGGGGGGACAGGGTCTCATACTGTGGCCCGCAGTTCTGAAGGTCTGTTCGAAGCCTGGGACCTCCTATCTCAACGGCTCGGGGCGTGAGTGTGGGGTAGGAAGGGGGGGCAGGCCTGCGGGTGTCCCTTTTGCCTGAGGAGCTGGAGACACTTGTGCAAAAGTCAGGCCCTTTTCGCTCCGGCGGCCGCCGCAGTATGGGGCTGGCTTGGGTTAGACACATGCACACATACACCATAGAGCTCTGCTTTCCCGTAGCAGCTGCTGCCTCTGCCTCTGCCTCTCCCGCCTCAGCCTCTTTGCCCGGCATACACACACATTCAGATTTGCGCGCTGTTTCAATCCTTGATGACGTGTCCCCGGAGACAGCCAATGGAAAGCGGGCTCTGGTCAGGACAATGGGAGGTATCGGGCCAATGAACGAGCCCCGTGAGTTGGCGGTAGCCAATAGGAGGCGCGCTGGCTGGAGAGTAATGTTACAGAGCGGAGAGAGTGAGGAGGCTGCGTCTGGCTCCCGCTCTCACAGCCATTGCAGTACATTGAGCTCCATAGAGACAGCGCCGGGGCAAGCGAGCGCCGGACGGGCCCTGGGCGACTCTGTGCCTCGCTGAGGGTGAGTCCGGGGCAGCGCGGCGGCGGGGAGGACGCCTCCGGCGGCGCCCG